GCCCTAGTGAAGGGTAGTTTCGAGACCCTTCGTGGTTGGGGACAGTGTGGCACTGTTCCACATCACTGTACCTCGGCTCTTGGGGTTTGTAGGAGCTTGGATTCATTCCCAACTCGTAACTCTTCAGATCTCTTCCTATTTTGTGTTCTAAGACTATAGTGGCTGCCATAGTGCCGTTCGTTCAAACCAACGCTGTGTCGTCAATACTTGGTCAAATCGTGCGATCTAAATTGCCTATTGTAGGCGACAATAAGACGCTCCAGATCCAAGTTGAATCAAGTCATTTGAAGCTGTGACCAGAACGCTATGAACGTTTGAAGCCGCTGTGCAGAAATCCGACTCTGCACTCTATCTTTCGTTTTAGGCACATTGGAGCCTACTGTGACTATAACAAGTGGTATCAGAGCGCCTTGGAGCAGTTTCGACAATGGCTGGACATGAGGAAAGGGGTGGCAGAGGTGCTGGTGGTAGAGGAGAAGCCCAAGCTCAAGGCCAACTCCGTGACTCAGCCATGGCGCCCGTGCAACCAAGTGTTGGCCCATCTAGGGATGAGCCTAGAGTGTTTGGCCTTGACAAGTTCAATGGTGACAACTTTGCTGAGTGGTCCTTCAGAATGGAGAACATATTTGACCACTATGACCTGCTGGAGGTGATGGAAGGAACGGAGAAGCGTCCCGAGAACGACCCGGAGAAGAGCCCTTGGGTGCGGAAGAGCGCACAAGGCTACCTCCTACTTGGGCAAGCGTTGGGGAGCAGCCAAATCCGTCATATCAAGCCTTTCCAGCGTGAACCAGAGAAGGGACCAAAAGCAGGGTCTGCTCTCAAGGGTGTACACGCTCCTGCAACAGCGGCGGTAGCTGTGGTGTTGGAACGGCAAATGGCGACGTTACGAATTGAAGAGGATGAAGCGGTTGAAGAAGGGGTGCAGAAATTCTTCGACTTGTTGACGCGGCTTGAGGGAGCGGATTTGAACTATAGTGAGCTCCAAAAGAAGACCAAGTTGCTGGCCCTACTCCCCGAATCATGGTCCTCGCTCATCATCAACCTCAATCGCGACTTGCCCCGCCTCTCGCTCGAAGACGTGAAGCGAGCTATCCTTCAAGAGGATTTCCGCCGCCGTGAGTTGGCGAGTGCGGATGGCGCTGGGGCAGCGAGCATTGGCCGTGGATATGGTCGAGGAAGAGGCAGAGGACGAGGTGAAGGAAGGTTTGGTGGCAGCAACTTCGGCGGAGGCCGCGGGAGTGGCGGTTACGGCAGCAATGACAAGAGCTACGGACGCGGTCGCGGCCGATTCGACGGCGAGTGTCACTATTGCCACAAGAGCGGACACATGTGGCGCGACTGCTACAAACTCCCTGATGGTTGGACCCCTGCTCAAGGCCAAGAAGGTAGAGGAGCAGGAGGAGGGAGAGGAAGAGGCCGTGGAGGCCGTGGCGGTCGCGGTGGCGGAGCTGCAAACATGAAGAGCGGAGACAACGACAAGGACCCGAGCGACGATCGATATCCGGGTCTATTCTACTTCGTGTCGACGCAAGCACCGGCTGGTCCAGAGAAGGATGAAGACTTTGAGGAGCCAGCAGCTGTGGGGAAGGTGACCCTACACCCCCTGGACTACTGGGTGATTGATAGTGGCGCTACCTATAGCATGACACCTCATCCGTACTTGCTCACCGAACTCGAGCCGTCACCGGTGAAGCATGTCACATCGGCTTTGGGGCAGCGAGCAGAGGTGAAAGGCATGGGGAAGGCCATGTTCAAGGGTGCTGATGGGAAGATGGTGGGCCTCAAGAACGTGCTTTGGGTGCCCAGCCTTGCTGCAAACCTGATTTCCGTGCGGCGGTTGGCAAAGGCCGGCATGGACACTAACTCGAAGGGAGCCAAGACCTACACCGCAAGGCTTGGCGATCGAATTCTCTGGGACCTTCATGAGGACAGGGATGTCTACAACGAGATGTGGCAGATCCCAGTGGTCCCCATGCCTAAGGAGAGGCAAGTGGCAGCAAGCATCAGCACCAAGGATGGAGCGGTCGGTAGCGACGATGGCGCGAACGGTCGCGCTAAGGAGAATGATCTCAAGAAGAGCAAACCTGGAGGGACCAGCAAGTTCAGTGAACCTAAGGAGAGTGGTGCAGCAGCCAAGGAGCAGCAAAAGGGTGAGGAGAACCTCGAGGCAGCAGCGGAGGAGGACTACGGAGAGAGTATGTGGGGCGCTATTGCGAGCGCGGCATTCTCCAATCCAACTTCGGCTACGGGGGAGTGTGATTGGCTCACCTTGCATCGGCGCATGGGGCATGTGGCCCTGCCTATCTTGCAGCAGCTAGTGAAGAATGAGATGGTTGCTGGCATACGTGTGAAGGGGGAGCCCGATGAGGTGCTTGGCTGCCCGACGTGCATTCAAGCCAAGTTCACCCGGTTTCCGTTCTCTAGTTCGGAGGCAACGGCAAAGGTACCGCTTGATGAGGTGGTGATGGACGTGGTGGGCCCCCTGAAGCTTGGAGCTGCTGGAGCTGAGTATTTTCTCACCATTGTTGACGTCTACACCCGCATGACTTGGGTGTACGTGCTGGCCAAGAAGAGTGACGTGGCTGAAACGTTGAAGGCGGATTGGTTCCCGATGGTGGAGCGGCAACAAGACCGTCTAGTCAAGTCAATCCGCACCGATCGAGGGGGAGAGTTCCTGAGCAAGGAGTTTGGGTTGTGGCTGAAGAAGAATGGTATTCGGCACTCCCTCACCATGCCATACTCCCCTGCAATGAATGGCATCGCCGAACGAGCGAACCGCACAATCACGGAGGCGGCACGCGGGTTGCTCATTGAAGCCGGGCTACCCGACTATTTCTGGCCTGATGCGGTGCGGAGCGCGTGTGTGGCCAAGAACAGAGCTTTGACTCATGTGGGAGCTGACAAATGGGTGCCCTATGTGGAGTGGCTAGGAAGGAAGCCAAAGGTGGATATGCTTCGGGTGTTCGGGTGCATGTGCATGGCGCTTGTGCCTAAGCATCTTCGGCACAACAAGCTTGGTGCCAAGGCGGTGTGGGCCGTGCACTTGGGCATGGCTCAAAACAGCAAGGGATGGCTTCTTTGGGACCCATTCACCAAGAAGTTCTTGGTGAGCAGGGACTGCAAGTTCATGGAGAACTTCATGTACAAGGATTGGAAGGCGGAGAATGAGGCGAAGATAGGCGTGCGGTTTGGGGAGGTGAAGAGTTCCGGTTTGGAGCATGTGGAGCTGCCTTTGGAGCTGAGCAGCGGCAGCACAACCACGAGGCAATCCTCCCTTGTGAATGGGGGAGAGGAGGCCAATGATGCAGAGGAAGAAGAGGAGGAGGTGCAGCAAGTGAGCGAGCGTGCACCGTCACTCCCTTCCCGTACCACGAGTGCTCCACGGATTCGAGCCACACCGCAGCAACGCCAAGGCCTTCAAGTCCCTGCAGCTGAGGAGGAAGGAAGGGGGAAGAGGAGAGTTCAACCCCCTAATAGGCTGACCTATGATGCACTTGGAAAGCAAGGCAAGACAGCCCTGGCCGGAGCGGCAATGATGGTCGGAGACGACGAGGAGAGTGACTATGAGGAGTGTGCCTTCGCGTTCTTCTCTCCGGTGGAGATGCCGGGAGAACCAGCAACTCTCAAGGAGGCTTTGGAGAGTAGTGATGCTGAGGAGTGGAAGAAGGCCATGGAGAGTGAGCTGAAGAGCATCGAGGAGAATGACACGTTTGAATTGGTGGAGCTACCGGAGGGGCGTACGGCGATAACGTCCAAGTGGCTCTTCAAAATCAAGTCGGATGCCGACGGCAAGATCGAGCGTTACAAGTCTAGGCTTGTAGCCAAGGGGTACTAGCAGAAGGAGAAGGTGGACTTCAAGGAGCTGTTTGCCCCTGTGGTGAAGCCGACGACGCTGCGAACCCTATTCGCGGGAGCCGCCATCAAAGGATGGGTAGTTAAACAAATGGACATCGTAACGGCATTCCTTAACGGCATCCTTGAGGAGGAGATTTTTATGGCGCAGCCAGAGGGGTTTGATGATGGTAGTGGCAGAGTGTGGAAGCTGAAGAAGGCCCTCTATGGGCTGAAGCAGGCCCCTAGGCAATGGTACATGAAGCTGCGCGAAGTGTTGGAGGAGATCGGCTTCACTCCCTCAACGGCCGATCACTCCTTGTTCATGCTTGGCGAGGGGGAGCAGAGGAGCTTCATGGTGGTTTATGTGGATGACATTCTCATATTCTCACCCTCCTCTGACCTTGTGAAGGAGGTGATGCTGAAGCTGCATGACAAGTTCAAGTGCAAGTCCCTTGGCGACGTGAACTTCTACCTTGGGCTCCACATCGAACGAGACGTGGAGAAGCGGAGCATGCGAGTGCACCAACGGAAGTACCTGGAGGCGTTGGCTGCCAACTTCGGCCAGAGTGAAGGTCATGTGGCTACTCCCTTTCCCTCTGGGTTCAAGTGTGTGAAGGGGCCAGAGGAGGAGAGCGTTGGAGAAGAGGAGAAGCGCCGATTTCACTCGTTGGTGGGCAGCCTCATGTATGCGGCGGTAAACACCCGACCGGACGTCGCGTTTGCCACCGGGCAGCTGGCTAGGGTTGTGCAATGCCCTAATGAGGAGCAGGTAGCAGCTGGAATGAGGGTGGCCAAGTATCTTGGCCAAACACCGACCGTTGGGCTGCAATACTCGGCGGCGGCACAACGGCGCCAAAAGGGCGCGGATGGTGTTGAACCCGGGCGTTTGTTCCTCACCGCCTACTCGGATGCTTCATATGCATCGGAACCAGAGGACATGACAAGTGTGGGAGGCTTCATATGCTGTGTTGGTGGAGGCCCAACTGCTTGGGAGAGCAAGAAGCAGGTTGACCAAGCTTTGAGCTCGGTGGAGTCCGAGTACATGGCACTCTTCCGTGCCGTACGGGAGATTGTGTGGCAGCGGCGTTTGTTGGCTGAATTGGGGGAGGAGCAGCAAGGACCTACCCCACTCTACTGTGACAGCCAGGGTGCCATTGCTCTTGCTAAGAACCCTGTGTTGCATGGACTCACGAAGCACATGAGGGTGAAGTGGCATTGGACGAGGAGCATGGTAACCGCGGGTGAAGTTGAGTTGCGCTACGTGAAGACCACGGGGCAGCCGGCTGACATGATGACCAAGAGGCTGGTGGAGCAGCAGCATTGGAAGTGTTGCAAGCTGGCTGGGATGGCTCTGAACTGACAGAGCAACATATCCTAAGGCCAACAATCCGAGGGGGAGTTTGTTGGTGCAACCCTATGGTTTGCACTCGGCTTGTTGTCCGTGTGCGTGCATGTGTGTGTGTGTATGGAATGGTATGAGGGCATGGGATAATATATATTTCATGCTTATAATTGTGTGTGAATGTTGAGTCATGATGTCGAGTGTGTGTGTTGAGTCAATAGCGAGTTATCGCTAGACGCGTGTTACGCGGTCGTTTGTGTCTCGCGCGCGGTTTCTATTTTGTCGTGCGCGGTTTCTATTTTGTCCTGTGTCGAACGTTCGGTGTGTCGCAGGTGTGTGCAGCAGACCCATCAAGAACTCAAGGATGAGTTTGTGATTAAGAGCCCGAGCCTTGGTGTCAAGCCTCAAGTGATTTCGAAGCTCGCCAAAAGGGTACACCTCAAGATATTGAAGATAGTTACATTACTTTGTGTAGTGTAACATTTCACTTGGTGTAGGCCCTAGTGAAGGGTAGTTTCGAGACCCTTCGTGGTTGGGGACAGTGTGGCACTGTTCCACATCACTGTACCTCGGCTCTTGGGGTTTGTAGGAGCTGGGATTCATTCCCAACTCGTAACTCTTCAGATCTCTTCCTATTTTGTGTTCTAAGACTATAGTGGCTGCCATAGTGCCGTTCGTTCAAACCAACGCTGTGTCGTCAATACTTGGTCGAATCGTGCGATCTAAATTGCCTATTGTAGGCGACAATAAGACGCTCCAGATCCAAGTTGAATCAAGTCATTTGAAGCTGTGACCAGAACGCTATGAACGTTTGAAGCCGCTGTGCAGAAATCCGACTGTGCACTCTATCTTTCGTTTTAGGCACATTGGAGCCTACTGTGACTATAACACTGCCACCACTCCCACCACCACCCCCACCCCCTCCACTGCCTCCACCACCACCTCCACCGCCCCCGCCAGCCCCTCCAGCGCCCTTGCCCCGCTTGCCCTTGCCGGTGCGGCGTCTCCCGCTAGGGGTAGACGCAGCGCCGACCGACTCGGAACCAAAGAGGTCGGCCGCAGCAGCAGAAGCAATAGAGGGCAAGAGGGGGGAGGGGGAACACCCCTCAAAGACGGGGGTGCGAGGGTCACCACGAGAGGCTCCTACAACGACTATGCTCTTCTCTGGTGCTAGGAGGGCCTTCTCGAGGAGGTCAACGGTGAGAGTGGTGGGGCAAACTGAGACGATGTGGTCCCTGACTACGCGGAGAGAGTCAGGGAGCCGGGTGACTATGTAGTAGAGGGTGATGTACATGGGGGGGGGGGGTTCTTGGTGCAGAACTCATCAGGAAGCGCAGCGCGGTAGCGAGTGTCACTAGTGCGGAGGTGCGTAATGAGGTCAGCGACTGTGGGAAAGGCAGCAAGGTCAGGGAAGAGGTACGGTAGCATGAGGCGGCTCAGTGCAGCAATGGCAGGGGAAGAGTAGCGTGCAACTACAACGTCGTACAAGGTCTGAGCACTCTTGTACTGGCTAAAGTGTGCACGCTCAGTGGTCGGTAAGTGGCGACGCACAGCAAGACGGGCAGCAGCATTGCGTGTCGCCCACTGTGAGCGAACAGTGTTGTCAGCAGTAGCAGGCGGGGCAGGGGAGGCACTAGAGGTGAGGTCGAACAGAGAGAGGCCGTCTGCCCTATCGCACTGGAGGAACTGCTGGAGGTTATCGACCCAGACCTCAAAGTCAACGGCACGGCCCTCAGCATCAAAAGTAAGGACACTGGGGGTAGCCATGACTGTAGTGGCCTAGTAGGGAGTGAGCTCACCAGTAGGAACAGCAGCGGATCGACAGTAGGGCGGCTCGGCGACTCGGCGGCTGGGCGGCTCGGCTGCTGGGCGGCTCGGCTGCTGGGCGCCTCGGCTGTTCGGCGGCTCGGCTGCTGGGCGGCTCGGCTGCTGGGTGGCTCAGCTACTCGGCAGGTGGGCGGCTCGGCTACACGGCAGGTGGGCGGCTCGGGTGCTGGGCGGCGCGGGTGCTGGGCCGCTCGGCTGCTGGGCCGGTGGAGGCGGCGACGTGGCCGCTAGGGGAGGGCGACGGGGCCGCAGGTGACGGCGACGGGGCCGTAGGTGGCGGCGACAGTGATGCAGAGGGGCCGCAAGGGGCCGCAACGGGGCCGTAGAGGGGCCACAAGGGGCCTAGACGGGGCCGTAGAGGGGCCGCACGAGGCCTAGACGGGGCCGCAGAGGGGCCGCAAGGGGCCTAGACGGGGCCGCAGAGGGGCCGCAAGGGGCGTAGACGGGGCCGTAGAGGGGCCGCACGGGGCCTACACGGGGCCGCAAGAGGCCTAGACGGGGCGGCGACGGGGCCGTAAGGTGCCCAGACGGGGCAGCGACGGGGCCGTAAGGGGCCTAGACGGGGCGGCGACGGGGCCGTAAGGGGCCTAGACGGGGCGGCGACGAGGCCGTAAGGGGCCGTAAGGGCGTCCTGTGGGGAGCCGACGGGCGTCGTGGGGGGGACGTAAGGGGCCATAAGGGCGGCGCTAGGGGCCGTAGAGGGCGGCGCGAGGGGCCGTAAAGGGCAGCGCGAGGGGCCGTAATGGCGGCGTAAGGGGCCATGAGAGGGGCCGCTAAAGGCGACGTGAAGGTGCCGTGAGAGGGCGTGACAGTAGGGAGGGCACACAGAGCGCAATGGTAGGGAGGGCACAGAGAGCGCGACTCGGGCAGGAGCAAAGCGCGCTCCGGGCAGGAAAAAAAATATATCGTGGTGGGCCCTAGGAATCGTTCCCACTAGGGAACCTACTCGATACCATGATAAGAAACGAGGAATGAATGCAATGAGCAGAATGAGGAGTACAAGTAGTAAACCCTAAAGTGTTGTACCCCATATGAACTGCCCCAATACAGCCTACATAGACTATAACATATATGCCTGACAGAATAGAGTACCTGGGTACGTATTATAGACCCGGGGGTCTACAACTGGTGGGGGTCCTATATGTTGGAAACAACTAATTCTAAGCGCCTCTGTCGTGTCGAAACACCAAGGCACAAACGAAGCACAACATATCGCAGCATCAGCGAGTCAACCCTCGGGGGTTGAGCAACTGCTGGAGGTTACGCGTAAGTCAAAGGTCAGCGACCTTTGACCTGACAAGTACAGCGCAATAGCAAGGACACACAACTGACTCGCTACAGAGCAGTTGCCCGAGTCGTCACTGTATCGAACCGCAACAGCAACAGTAAAGTAGTTATAAATGTATCTCTTCGTATTCCTTGTACTCTTATATAATCATGTATCTCTTTGCTTTAATCAATCTGTTTTGCCCTCACATACTAGCGCAAGGTGGTTCACAACTCTTCATTAAAACGCTTCCGCTATTACATCAGTCCTACCCAGAGTTCACCCCTGCAAAGATCCTAAGGGCTATTTTCTCAGCCCAACATGGTATTAGAGCTATCAGGGGGAATTCAACTATCAAGACACCTACAATATTATAAGACATGGCTACTCAGAAGGAAAGAGGTTCCTCTATTGGCTCTCCCGACACTACTCCTACTCCACCCCTTGCCTCTGGCCTACAGACAGAGGAGGGTACGGCAACAAGACCCAGGGCAACATCCACCGAGACTCCTGCGAATCAACGTGCAGGTTTCGACCAGAGCATGATGGAGAAGTTTTTCTCCTTCATGTCCTTCTATGAGCAACACAAGCAATCGGCACCTGCGCAGTCACACAACAGCAACAACAACAACGACGTGACTCCAATGAGCCTTGACGGATCATCCTATGCATGTGGAAATCAGCAGCAGCAACCTACCTTTGCTCCACACGAGCCCCAGCGCGGCTCCGTTAGCTTCATGCCACAACCGCAGCCTGCACCTCGACAAGAGAAGACACTGGACGTGCTACAAGTTCAGTCGCAATTCGCGCACGTCCTTAAGTTGCAAACGTCAAGACCTTTCTACGGAAAAGACTTTTTTACCTAGTCATTCGAGTTTGAGCTGATGATGGAAGGCGCGCAGATCCTCGGCTTCTTCGACGGATCCCTGCCATACCCAACAAACGGCACACAGTACGAGAAGCAGCAGTACACCTATCAGTCAATGATGGCGTACACAATCCTACTGAGGAATATCACCCCGACTCAGCAGCAGAATATACGGTCTTACCGAGGATATGGTAACTCCGCCGAGCTCGCATACGGCCACTTGAAGATCCTGTACTAAGCAACAGACAGCGGTAATCAGAGTCGGCTAATGGCGCAGTTGACAACAGTAGAAATGAAACCAGGCGAAAAGAGAATAGCGTTTATCAGCCGCTGTCGCGAGTTGCGCGACAAACTCGTTCGATGCGGAGGGTCGATATCTGAAGACGCCTTCATGACAGTCATCATCGGCGGCCTCGGCCCTCAATGGCGCGCCACAAAGGCCATTCTCCGAGCTCGTGGGAGAATCTCCGAGGTAGCACTCTGCGCTGAAATACACGCCGAGCAACAAGACATGGACCTGCAAGAGGAACGACACAAGAAGAAAGCATCAAAACCCGAATTCACGTTTCATACTCAGCGACGCTACAACAACAACAACAACAACAACCGACAACAACCAAAGCCCGTACCTCCGTTCTGCCATCTCTGCAAGACGTCAGGACACCCACGCACATGTCAGAACATATAGCTTTTGCATATTGTGTAGGCTATAGTGGGGTAGCCCATAAGGGGTACAACCCAATTAGGGTTAGTAACTGTACTCAGTTCATTCATAGTTCATTCATTCTGGTTCAACTTTTCTCATGGTATCGAGCAGGTTCCCCTGTGGGAACTGCGCCTAGGGCCCACCACTTCGAATTTTTTTTTTTTCCTGCCCGAAGCGCGCTCATCCCGAGTCGCGCCTCGGGCTATTAACTCGACGAGCCGCCCTAGCGGCCTTCCGTCCCCTAGCGGCCCTGCCGCCCTACTGTCGCGGCCCCAACGCCCTTCTTTAGCGGCCCCGCCGCCCTACATTTCGCGGCCCCGCCGCCCTGCTGTAGCGGCCCCGCCGCCCTTCTTTAGCGGCCCCGCCACCCTACATTTCGCGGCCCCGCCGCCCTGCAGTAGCGGCCCCGCCGCCCTTCTTTAGCGGCCCCGCTACCCTACCTTCGCGGCCTCGCCGCCCTGCACTACCGGCCCCGCCGCCCTTCTACTGCGGCCTCGCCGCCCTACACCTGGGGCCCCGCCGCGCGACTGCTGCGGCCCTGCCGCTCTCCCCTCCTGCCGCGCCACCCGAGCCGCCGACCGCCGCACCACCCTGCAGCGTGCACCCGAGCAGCCGACCGCCGCGCCGCCCAGTACCGGAGGAGCCGAGCCGCCCAGCCGCCGAGCCGCCCGGCCGCCCACCAGCCGAGCCGCCCAGCAGCCGAGCCGCTGTGCAGCCGAGCCGCCCAGCAGCCGAGCCGCCGAGCCGCCGAGCCGCCCAGCCGCCGAGCCGCCCAGCAGCCGAGCCGCCCAGCCGCCGAGCCGCCCTACACCCGAGCCGCCCGACCTGCCCTGTCCGGTGAGCACAGCCCCACTGTCACTGCGTGCCCTTCCCCTACTGCTTGCACTGCTCGTCTATCGCCGTCATGGCTACCCCGAGTGTCCTCGCTTTTGACGCTGAGGGTCGAGCCATTGACTTTGAGGTCTGGGTCGACGACCTGCAGCTGTTCTTACAGTGCGATAGGGCGGACGGTCTTTCTCTCTTTGACCTCACCTCTGGCGCCTCTCCTGCCCCTGCTGCTGATGCTGACCCCACTGTTCGCTCTCAGTGAGCCACCCGCGATGCTGCTGCACGTCTTGCTGTGCGTCGCCACCTGCCTACCACTGAGCGCGCGCACTTTAGTCAGTACAAGAGTGCTCAGACCTTGTACGACGCTGTAGTTGCGCACTACTCTTCCCCTGCCACTGCTGCACTGAGCCGCCTCATGCTACCGTACCTCTTCCCTGACCTTGCTGCCTTTCCCACAGTCGCTGACCTCATTACGCACCTCCGCACTAGTGACACTCGCTACCGCGCCGCGCTTCCTGCTGAGTTCTGCGCCAAGAACCCCCCCCCCCCCCCCATGTACATCACTCTCTATTACATAGTCACACGCCTCCCTGACTCCCTTCGCGTAGTCAGGGACCACTTCCTCTCAGTCTGTCCCACCACTCTCACTGTTGACCTCCTCGAGAAGGCCCTCCTGGCGGCGGAGAAGAGCATCGTCGCTGTAGGAGCCTCTCGTGGTGACCCTCGCACCCCCATCTTTGAGGGGTGTTCTCCTTCCCCCCTTCTGCCCTCTGTTGCCTCTGCTGCTGCTGCCGACATGCTTGGTCTTGAGTCGGTCGGCGCGGCGTCTGCCCCTAGCGGGAGACGCCGCCCTGGCAAGGGCAAGGAGGGCAAGGGCGCGGGTGGAGCTGGCGGGGGCGGTGGGGGTAGCAGTGGAGGCGGCGGAGGGAGTGGGGGTGGCGGTGGGAGTGGTGGCAGGGGTGGTGGTGGTGGTGGCAGCAGCGGAGGCGGAGGCGGTGGCGGTGGCAGCGGTGGGAGCGGAGGCGGCGGTGGTGGCGGAGGTGGAGGCGGCGGTGGCGGAGGGGTTGGAGCTGGTCGGGGTGGTGCCCCGCAGCGGAGCGGCTCTGGTGTCAGCGCCAGCAGCAGCAGCGTTCTCGGGACATCCCCCCGCCTCAGCAGCTCTGTGAGTGGTACTCGCAGCGTCAGCGTGGTGGGGGTTTTTGTCCGTGCACCTACGTCCTTCGCACCGGCGAGTGCACGGGTGAGCAGTGTGGGGGTGCCCACCCCACCCA